GCCACTCGTGTGCGCGCGGCGCCGCCCCCCCCCCCCCCCCGCTGCCACCAAGTTCTTGACCCAAAAGCGCTTTGCAGGCAGGCAGGGCTTTCTTTCTTTCTTTCTGGGAAAAGAGGCGCCGGAACTCTCAAGAGGGAAACGAAGTTTTCACTCTGCATCCTAAAAACTCGTGAACTGTTCTAGCACTTTATGACAGCTGAATTGTTTTATGACTGTTTTAAGATTGCTTTATAATTGCTATTTATGTGTTAAATTTCCTTTTTATGTAAGCCACCCTGAGCCTGCTGTCGGGGAGGGCAGGGGGAAAACGGAATAAATAAGTAAACAATGAACTTTTAAACATTTTTAAAAGAACTTTGTTGAAGAGGTTCTGGAACTCTGTTCCAGTGCATTCCCCCAGAAGGAAAGCCCTGCTTGCAGGCGTGGGGCCCTGGAGGAACAAGCCCGTAACCCCCAAGACCTGGCTGCCGAGTGCCACCTGGCTGCGCTCTAGAGGCTGCCGCAGGGCCCTTCTCCAGTTACTTCCCCTGGCGCTCACACAAAGCTGGCTGGAGCCCAAGGATCCACACTCCTAATCTCCCCAGTGACACAAAGACACCCGGCGGCCTCGCCCCAGTCTCTCAAGGTCACCGGCCTCTTGTCTGACTCCCTGGGAAGTGCCAGGTTCACAAGCACAGAAAATGGCAAACTCGGTGCTGGGGACTACCAAGAATGAGACCGGGGTGGGGGGGAGTGCCAACCACAGAATGCCCCTGTAGCCTCGTCTGGAATACCGTCTGTAGTCTGGGTTGCATACTTCAAAAAGGACACTGCACAGCTGGAGAGAGTACAGAAGAGGGCAATCAAGATGGTGAGGGGTTGGAGCACCTTTCCTATGAGTCAAGGCTGAAGAGTCCAGGACTTTGCAGTTTAGAAAAGATACAAATACGGGTGGGACATGACAGAGGCTTACAAAGTTATGCACAGGGTAGGAAAAGTGGACAGAGAACTTTTATCCCTCTCCCCAAACACTAGCAATTAATCTTACAAAGGAATTTCAAAAGGAGATTAGAAAGAGAGACTGGTGAATTGCAACGGATAATGAAGTTCAAGACAATGCGTCCTCCTGGACTGAAGCAAGACCCAGGTTTCCTGTCTCATTACCAATGCTGATTTCTCCACACCTACCACTTCTCTGTATATCACACCTCATCCAGTCACACTTGCTATTGTCATTTGCCTGCTAATATCATTTGGCATCTGACATCACTTTCGAATATATAGGACAGATGGACTCCCATTTTAGCTGTATCTGAAGAAGTGAGCAGTGACTCACAAAAGCTCCTCCCCTGCCACAAATTTTGCTAGTCTTTAAGGTGCTCCTGGACTCTGGCTCTTTTCTACTCCCAAAACACTGCAACTGAAGGACACCCAATGAAGTCGATGGGCAGTACATTCAGGACAAACAAAACGATATCTTTACTCAGCATCATCAAAACGTGGAATTTGTTGCCAGAGGATGTCATGCTGGCCCCACAGGCATAGACAGATCTCAGAGGGGATGAGACAGATGCACGCAGGGTAAGCCTATCAGTGGCTACTAGCCGTGGGGACTAAAAGGAACCTCCATGCTCAGAGGCAGTCTACCTCTGAACCCCAATGCCCGGAGGCCTGTTGGCCCTCTGGAGTGAATGGCTGCCTGCTGGGTGAAACAGGATGCTGGACTGGATGGACCCTGGCTGGTCTGAACCTACAGGGCTCTTCCGATGTTGCGGGGTCTCAGCCAGCTGGTCATAGGTGGGGTGAAAGGGCTCTAATCAGAAATGTCAGCAACTGGACCCGGGACCTTCTCCGTGCAAAGCAGAGGCTTTGTTCCAGGCCCAGGGCAAGCGCCCTCTGCCACACGGGCTCCCTGCCCCAGGTGCAGTGCTGCTGGGCTTTGGGTTTTCTTCCTGCTTCCCCATAGTAGCACGGCGCATTTGTGCACCTCTCGGGGATTCTCCAGCATTTCTCCAGTCTTGCTCAAACCTGCTCTGCTCCAGAGTTTTGGGAACAACTGCAGTAAAGCCTGGCAGGCTACCTGGGTGTGAGAAAATTCAGATTTCAGCCATTTCCCCTGACTCTGTTCCTACAGCAACCATTTCCTTCCTCAGCCAAAGGGGGGAGGGTGTTATCTTTTAAAAAGTTGGGAATTGAACACTGCTGTTCTCAATAAAACATTATACTACTGTTTGTAACAGGTTCTCTGAATTCCCAGCTTTTTTTTTTTTAAAGTTGAGTCTTTAGGCCCTTTTGTTCTGAAGAAAGGCGGATCTCTACGACAGAAAGGACTAGAGACTTGCTTTTTGTAAAAACTCAAGAGCTGGGAATTCAGAGAGCCTGTTGCACATGGAGGGATAACTTTATACCACTATGAAAACATCCAAGTGCCCCAGTGGCCCGGAGGAAGGGAGTACGGCTATTGCTGGGGGGGGGGATCGGAACCCCCACCCCGGCCACTGGGCTGTACCAGCTGCAGCTATAGCAGTGGGGGAACCACACCAGCCCGTCCCCCTGCGGAAGCAGCCACGGAGAGAAGAGGAGGAGGAGGACCAGTTACAGCGTTACAGAAGAGGCCAGCAGCCGAGGCCCTGGAGGACGCATTCATAGGAGATCCACGTCCTGTGCTGCCCTGGCTCAGCCGCTGCCGTGGCAGATGGAGTCCCCCATAATCCACTGCTCAGTCTATGCACTCGTTTTGCTTATGGGCTGTCTCGCTCGGGCTGAAGGGGGATGGCAAAACGTATGTGAAGCAAGCTGGAAGAGCACAAGACACACAAGAAGCAACGCAGAGTCAGGTGGGGAGAGCCAGTTCGGTCTGAAGCAGCAGCACAGGGTTCGAGGCCCCAGTCGGGCCCCTTTAAGACCAACCGAGATTATCCAAGGCACAAGCTCTCGTGTGCACACACACAAAAGGTGCCAACTGGACTCAAACTTTGCTCAATAAGCAACGCAGCAAGACGGAACAGCAAAAGTAGAAAACAAAGCAGTAAGAACCAGACAATGCATAAGCAGCACCCACCATAGCCAGTTTATCAAAATGCCTTTCTGACCTATTCCATTTTGCACACAGGCTGCGTTATGGCAAGAGTGAGCTAGATTAGAGGGACCACTGTTCTGATCCAGCAAGCCTCCTCTTATCCGGCCTTTACAGAACTATTACTTGAAGGTTTTGTTTTCTTTCTAAAGGGCCCACACAACTACCGGAGTATTTTGTCCCCTTGAGCGTAGCACCTCCAAGACCATCACGTGCCAACCAGGACGCCAGCTGGCAGCAAAGGTAGCTCGCTGGTGGACTGTGGGCCATTAGACGCCAACACTGTCGCTTGTTGTCGGTGGGGGTTAAACAAGGCCACTGGCCTTTCTCGGCATTTTTCTCTTCTAGACCACAGCTGTGGCGGCTGCAAACAGGAGAGTGGGCTGGTTTTAGCCAATGGGCAACATGGCACCTGCCTTGGGCCCCATGCTGGGCTGTGTACCGACTGCCCACAGCTCCACACACACACACACCCCCCCCACGCAGAGGGGGAATGAAGAGGAAGAGCAGGCCCCTGCTGCCACCCGCACCCATCCCATCTGGGGGGGGGGGCTGTCTGCAGCACCAGCAGCTCACAATCAAGGGTTTGAGCAGCGGGCTCAGCAGCAGGCGCCTGTGCCCACTCCATCTGGGGCTCGGATAGCCAGCTTCCAGAGACGGCTCCTGCCCGCCTCACACTTTAACCGGGGGGGGGGCTGTGACTCTGGGGCCACATCCTGGACGTTCACCCAGGGCCCTAGAATCGCTAGGGCAGCCAATTGAGAGAGTCATGTGGTGAAAGGCTGAGTGGCCTGTTCTTCACCTCTTCCTCCTGGCGCCATTTTCACACACGAAGCAGATCAACAGATTCCAGGGGGGGGAGGGGGGGCTGCCACTCAGCCCAGGGGGTCCTGCAGGGGTCTATATTGTCCCCCAAGCTGCTTAACATTGACATGTAACCAGAAGGAGAGACCTTCGGGGGGGGGGGATCTTTTGTGAGGTGCCAGCAATATGTAAAGCACGTAAAGATCACATCTGTGAACACCCCACCCCTCCAAAACGTCCATTCTAAATCTTTCCTTGTCTCCCATCCACCTGCGACTGCTAGAGGAAAACAATGCGGTCAATTATCGCCTGGTCTCTCCTTTACCCTCCTGGGGCGACATGAGAGCAGCCGCCCCTGCAGAGCAGCCCCAGGCCTTCCTGGATACACTATCTGCTCCCGGGCCCCTCTTACGCCTGGGCTTAGGCCGGACTACTGGACACGGATGGTGCTGGTAGCCCTAATGGTTGACCTCTGGCCTTTTTTAATTAAAAAAAATATATTAAAAAAAAAAAGGAAGGAAAAACAACAAGCCAGCAACTAACAAAAAAGCGGGGTGGGGTGGGGGTGGGGGGAGAAAAATGTAAACACCACCAGCGGCAGATCTACACATAAATGCCTATAAAAGGTTTCCAAGTATCTAGCACAGAATATGAGCGATAACTTCCTCTCAGAGAAACCCAATGACCAGACGCACCCAAAGCGTCCGCTTAAGGGAGACATCCCGGGAGTTACAGCACCAACATACAGACCCCGTACTCGGTCCTTTGATAAAGAGTCGCTGTGACGTCCAGCAGATCCTGAACACGTTTTTTGCAGCTTAAGAACCACGAAAAGAGCAGGGGGAACCCTTAAGGCCGTATCCCGTTGTTTCGGCAAAAGAGGGAAACCCAGCTCCTGACTTCATTCATCCCGGAGGTTTATTACTCAACACCAAATATCCATAAACAACTACTGTCAGTTTCTTCACGCATCGATGCAGTTACAAATTCCCAGGAGCTGTGGGGAGACCTATATCAATGTGGGATCTGCCTTGTGGGGTTCCGCCAGGCCCAGTCTTACCCCCCCATGTAATTCAACCTCTGTCCGAAGCCCTCAGGAGAAATCATCTGTGGCTTTGGAATGGAGTACCATCAATGTGCGGCCAGTGCCCAGCTCTTTATCGAAGTCACCTGGTGACGGTATGGATTCTGAACCAAAGCCTGACTGCTCTAGTCGGACAGCTAGACCGAAACAGAATCCCGATACGACGGCGCTCATGTCGACTGGGGAGGCCAAGGCCCTGGAGGACACGGGGCTGCCCACTTCTGATGGGGTCCAGGTGACTCGGTTAAGAGCCATGGGGTGAGTCTGGATCCAGCTTCATTGTTGGAGAAGCAAACTGATGCAGTTGCTACGCAGGACATTCTTCCAGCTTTGCTTAGCCTGGAAGACAGCCCCCTGCCTCGACTCGGCTGACGCGACCACGTAGGTCCATACTCAGATTAGCCAGAGGCCAGACTACTGCCACCCACCCACCCTACAAAGGTCTGTCCTTAAAGCCTAGTTGGAGTAGAATGATGCCGCCCAGGTACTGCTGGGTTCACATGAAGCTGCCTTATGCGGCCATTTCATAGATCAGTCAAATATGGGGACCGTTCTCAAACAGAGGCCCTCCGGATTGGCTTGCCCGCCTGTCACGAGTGAGGACACACACACACGTGCGAGAGTACGCGACTCGCACACAGAGCTCGACGGGGCATCATCGATCGGTTGGTGCTGCTGCTTTCTGCTGAATCAGACCCTGGGTCCATCCAGGTCAGTCTTGTCTACCCAGACTGGCAACAGCTCTCCAGGGTCTTGGGCAGAAAAGGGTCTTTCCCATCACCTGCTGCCAGATCCTTCAACTAGAGACGCCAAGGACTGACCCTGGGCCCTTCCGCCTGCCAAAAGCAGGTGCTCCCTACCACTGAGCCACGGGCCCTCCCCGAAGCACCCACCAGCTCCCACGCCCCACTCAAGGTGAATGGCCCCGGAGCCGCATCCCTGCAGGGCCGCCTCTCCTGCTGTCCTCTGCCACAGACAGCCGCACTCACCTCAGGCCCTCCGCCCGAAGGTGCCACAGGCAAAAGCCACAAGTGCCCCCACACACATCCTCCGTGGTGGGGGTGGCGCCGACATTACGGAACGGCCGGTCCGAGGCGATCAGGAAGGCCCCCTCCATCGTTTCACAGTGTGCGCAAGGACCTGCTGCTGCTGCTGCTGGCGGGAAGACTGTTTTCTGAGGCCACCTTTCACGCCAGGAGCGCTTCCACCCCAACACGCCACCCTTCCCACTCCCACTGCGACATTCAGTGCCCCAAGAACACACTGGCAGTGCATGAGGCCCCGCAGGCAGGCAGGCAGGCTGCCTCCACGCAGAGCCTGACCCCTTCCCACCCATTCTGTTCCCTCCTTCTTAATTAAGTCTCTGTACGGCAACCAGTCTCTACCTCGTTGCCTTGAGTAAGATGTCAACACCTCTACTGGTACAATCCACAATGGTCTTTCATCACTTTGGTATTTCTTATATCTCGTCCATACCATATACAAAACTTTCCTCACCAAATGAAGTTTAAAAAAACTATCCATTTTTATCTTGTCATACCACAAATATGCATGCCAACCAAATCTACAGTCATGTCCCTCTAACCCCAACAATTTATCATCTTCAAGTTTCACCCATTTATCTATCCAGGTTAGGCAGACCGCTTCATAATATAGTCTAAGATTTGGTAGTTGCAATCCTCCTCTTTCTTTGGCATCACAAAGTATTTTCATTTTAATCCTTGGTTTCTTACCTGCCCAAACAAATTTTGACAACTCCTGTTGCCACTTTGCTAACAAGTCCGTTTTGTGTAAAATTGGTATTGTTTGGAACAGGAACATCAGGCGTGGTGGGACATTCATCTTAATAACTGAAATTCTTCCCAACAGTGATAAACCTGTTTTGTTCTGACCTGGTGGGCAAGAGCCCAGCCCAGGTGCCTTTGGGTGCTGGATGGAGGGGGACCAGGAGCCCTCCCCCTCTGCAGGACCTCTCTCCCCCCCCCCCC